ACGTAGCGGCTAGCTATTGGCTTGCTAGCCGTACAAAAGGCTTGGGTGGTTTCCGCCCAAGTTGGAGAGAAAGACAGAGAGAGACGGAGAGACGGATCTCTAAGCACTGTGGGTCCTTTCGAACCCAGCGCGTCTTTCTTAAGAAGGCGATAGAGGCTCCAATTGCCAAACCCCTGGAGCCTAGCAAACTCCGGGGCACCACTTACCGATGGCCTCTAGCCTCTCCCCATCACTGATCGCAGCCCAGACGAATCCCTATCCTAGAACCCAGTTATCGACACCACGGAGTCTTAACCGCTCCGGGGATCCTGGGAACAGAACCCAATTATTGACACCACGGAGTCTGAACCACTCCGAGGATCCTGGGAACCGAGTTTTAGAGTCCTCCAACGAGGAAGGAAGCGGAGCTGTACCTGGGAAACTGTCCAGCCTGCACCGTGACCATCTCCGATGTAAGTAAATAATCTTTTCAATCAACCATTACGCCTCTGTGACTGATTCTAGCTCGAGCGTATTACTCCACCCCGCAACTTTTCTCCGGCCCCGCGTGCCCGGGCTGCCGGCCACAGCCCGCGTGCACACAGACGGGCCCGGCAGCCGGCCCACACAGGAATTAATCAAGTCTATGTAGTGATTTGACAAGACTCCTGCATCAGCTGCTGTAAAATAGAAAGTCAGTTAAGGCTTCATCCATAACAAGTAAACTCTGTATGCCTTACTTTCCAGATGCCCAGTTTTAGACTGCCCAGTTTTAGATTGCAGGGGCCAAGCATTAAGTATTCACAGCTGTGCCTGAAACAGTGATCAAAAGATCCAAAAGTGGGGAGGACCCAAGTTCATACACTGCCTCATCCACTAATTCAATGTGGAGCTTTTGATATATCACTATAGTAGGGGTGGGACACCCTTCTGGCAGGTGTTCCTCTATAGCAGGTGTGCCACAAGTTTAAGCATGCCGCAAGCTAAGCCCTACCACCTCCCCAAGGGCTGCTCTGCTCACCACCCAATCTGCTGCTCTGACATGTGCCAAACATGGCAGCTGCCTGTGCCATTTCAGGGTGGCCATCCTTCTTTTATGGCTATGATTACAGCTTATGCAGAGCAAGCTGGGGCAGTGTTAGCACCTACCCACAGCGGCACTAAATCCAGCAGATTATGGGGCCCCTCTTCACATGCAGGTAAAGGTGCAATGGGATCTAATGCTTGAGCCACACATGCATGGCAGGAAGTGTGACTGGGATTGTGCATTAGACCTTTCTGCCTGTGCAGTGGGAGTGCAATCCCAGCTACCCCTTCACCAGCAAGAAGCAAGCTCCTGCACCTGGGAGCCCCCTGCCAGCTGACACCCATCCCAGGCTCTCCTGAAAGTCAGAGACCACATCTGCTGCCATCTCCCAAGTATGAGATGCCCTAGTCACCCCCATGGCTGGGAGCTGCCAGGCTCAGGGGTGCACATGGGCCCCTTTGCTGGGAGCTATGATCAGCTAATGAGGCTCCCAGCCATGGGGCCCCTGGTCACATGTTCAGTTAACATGATGGGAAGCAACTACAAAACTTATTACTCATATTCTATGGAATAACTTTGTAATTCATAGATTTATAGATGTTAGGGTCAGAAGGGACCTCAATAGATCATCGAGTCCGACCCCCTGCATAGGCAGGAAAGAGGGCTGGGTCTAGATGACCCCACCTAGATACTCATCTAACCTCCTCTTGAAGACCCCCAGGGTAGGGGAGAGCACCACCTCCCTTGGGAGCCCGTTCCAGACCTTGGCCACTCGAACTGTGAAGAAGTTCCTCCTAATGTCCAATCTAAATCTGCTCTCTGCTAGCTTGTGGCCATTATTTCTTGTAATTATTCCTCTTTTTATCATATCATTAATTGATTGAATGTGTCAGGTGACCACTAAGGCAGGATTAACTGGTTAATCACACCTTAACTGTAATGTGTAGATGAGGCCTCCAAGCCTACCCAAAAAGCAAGTAGCTCTGCATTACTGTTGCTAAATTTGCTAGCAGTACCTTGGCTAGTTAAAATGAAGTGAGGCATGCTTAAACAAGATGCAGCTAATGCAATGCAGATCTTATCTTACATTTTTGCATAGTTTCCTCATCTATAAAATCCAGATAATATGCTCGCTTCCCTCCACGGGGAGCTGGGGAACAAAAGGTCTGTAATGTATTGAGATAATATAGCAACAAGCACCACAGATACAGAGGCCCAGAAACCCACACAGAAATTAGAATTTTGTATTCAGAATAGACACTAGATGTGGGATAAATAAAACACTTATGAAATAACAAAAAAATACTGTGAGCCTGTAACAGGGTGGCCTCCTCGCCAAGTCTCCACTGGCCGCCCTGCTGCTGGGGTACCAGCCTGCTTCACTCCAATGCCTTGATGGAAAAAATATGAGAGTTGTTACTAAGGCGGGAGGCTACCCATTACTTGCCCTGCTGACAAAGGCCTAATACCCGTTCCAACCTCCTCTCCATGGGTCCCATGCCTCGCAGATGCTACTTCTCCAGCCTATGGCCAAAGCAAACTGGGCACACAGTTGTAGCTCTTTTCTACAGCCCTGGAGGGCCACTCGCACACTACCCCTCTCTCACCAGGGTCCCACTCACTCTTCTGGCTCTCACCCAGCCTCTTTCATACTGCCCTCTCTCTCAGGGCCATACTCATCCCACCTGGCCTCACCCGGCTTTGGGCTTAGCTCTCCTCGCCTCAGTCAGCCCTGGTGCAGTCTGTCGGGTGTCTCCCACTACCCTCACTTGAGCATTGACTGAGCGATTCTATGACTGTAGGCCTATTTCGCTCCTAGCCCCTCACTGGGCCACTATGCCCCCACTGGGCCTCCTCACTCACCCACACTCATGGGGCCACTCTGTTCATTGCCCTTCTCTCAGGGTCTCAGTCACACCCCCAGGCTTTTCTTGCCGCCTGGGTGCGGCCCCAGGTCCCTCCTCTGGCCTGAGCTCTGCCTTAGGGCTCCTTAACAAGCCCCGGACTCCCTCTGTTCATTAGAGCACCACCAGGGATGTGGGGCTGGGGACTTAAGGCACCCCAACCTACCTTTCACCAGGGAGGTAACTGGCCGGGCATTTCCTGGAGGCTCCCACATCACTAGGAGCCCCACCATACAACCCTTTCTCAGCAGGGTGCATTTTACATCTTACCCAGGATGAGGGGTCACCTTCTCCCCATAGCCCCTGCCGTTATCTCCTGATTATAGCCAAAGCAGCCTCTCTGCCTGATGTTACATCCTTCTTTCCAGCAGCAAACTGCAGCCCAGCTTATATCTCTGGGTACAAAATGGCTGCCCTCATCGGGTACCTGACTACTGCCCGTTTTCTGCCCTTAAAGTGGCAGGCACCAAAGATGTCCTGCCACAGAGCCCTTCTTATCCTTTAACAGGAATAAGACAGTAGTTCTCTGGGGCAAGTGGGGAAGGGCATAAGAGCATGTTACTAAAACTGCATCATAATGCACAAGAAGCCTTACTTGTAGGATTTCCTAACTTCTGACTGTGCTACATAAACTATTTTAATGTAGTTTTATATGCCACATGTCAATTGTTGCTTTGACATGTACAGCAAAACACAGATTTGCAAGAGAACTCTTAGATAAGATCAAGGACAGCATTTTAAACAATTCAATGGAGACATGCATCTCTTGATATGCCTGCTGCACATCAGTCATTAATGAATGGGAATCTCAAACAGACAATTTTTATTGTAAAAATAACTGGTGATTTTGCTATGCAATAATTTGACTACTGCAATATATGGTGTCCTGCAACACCAATGTACAAAACAAAAAATTCCATTTTTATTATGAATATTTTCCTGCAGGATTTGACTTCACTAATTATCCTCGTTGTCATCAGTTCATGGTTTTTTGTTTTGTTTTTTTTAAGCAGTTGCCTTTAAGCAATAGTCTACCCTGGTTACAGAAGTAAATAGAAAGAGAGGAAGATATTTCATTAAATGGATTGCATACAGGTAAAATCCATGTGGCAAATATACATATCAAGATATATTCACAATGTTCCATGTACAGATACCAGATGTGCATACATGCTACAATTTCTCTATTTTCCTACTGCACCATCCACCAGTCATTTGTTCCTTACCGGGTTATAATAGGATCTGCAGCATGGTTTGGTCCCCAGCGCCCTAACAGCCCTCGACCTACCAGTCCAGTCCTGCCTACTGGGTTTCTGAAAGAGAAGGTGTTGTAACATTAAATAACGAAACTCTCATGTGCCAATAGTCTGAGAAGTTGTCTTCACTCATATAAGAATCTGCAAAAAGAAAGAAGAGTATGCTTATATAGCATGTGTTGACATGTTGTATCTCAGGCACATAGAGTAGGTTTAGGCAATCAAAAATTGCAGGATGTGCAACTAATCATTCCAACTTATCTCAACAGTTGTCAGTACTGTGACATTAGCAGTCCTGAAATGGACCAAGTCCTACCAATTTCAAGACTATTATTAGAAGCAAGGCACCTTGACTAAAGAATAACAAACCTTAGTGAGATGCAAGCAGCACTAATAAGCAGCAACAGGCTGTTCCCACATGAATAAGCCAGCACACTTAATCAGGCTTTGCAGTATCTTACATTTTTAAATCAATGGTTAGAGCCACCCACACAATTTAAATGGATGCCTATCTTACCCTCAGGCATATAAAGTATGACAAGAGCCACTTAATGAAGAGGAAAGATGGAAGAAATAAGGTTGAAGCGTGGGTAGAACTGTATTAAATATGTCATTATGAAATAAGACTACATGGTGATTTCTAAATTGAAAAAACAGTAAGAGTAACTCCACGGTTGTTTGCTTTGTACAATCCTATAGTTGCCTTTTAATCACATGTTGTGGGCTTGTGGAACTTTAGATGGCCACCCTTTGGTGTTTTGTTAGAATTGCTTTCTAAAACCTACAACAAAAAATTAAATGGCATTTGAGAGGCAATACAATCGAACCTTCAGGTCACACGTCAGACCTCCTGAGGGCTCTAACTTACTCCTAGCCCAAAGGAAAGGATGAAGGGCAATGGGATGGGGTCATATAGCTGTACCACCTAAGGGGCAATCTAGGAAAGAAATGGTGACAGAGCTGCTGGATCAGTTCTACACACCAGTTTAAGGACAGAACCAAAAGAGCATAGTTCACTCCTTGTTCTCTTGTGTTGGGCGAGGTAGCACCCCCCGCTTTCCTCCCAATATGGGCTGTCTAATTGGATGGTTTACATAAGAATTACTTGGCACATTACATGAAAAAACTCGAGCATCCTACAATCTTGGCTTCAGCTTGCTAGTCAACTCTCTCACAACTTGGGTATGAAATACAGGAAAGGAGGTCTAGTATAAATATGAACTTGAAGCACAAACAAGTTCCAATACCAAGGTCCAGATTCACTTTTGCTCCAGCGAAGTACAAAGTGCATCACCATTTGAAATAAAGGTCACTGCATCTGAAGTAAAAGAAATATGCATCCAGAGATGGGAGTATCTACAAGGGAGGGAGCAGGGAGAATGGGAAGGCAGCATTTCCTCAAAAGGCTGAAATATGCTAAACCCGCACATCCTATAGCTGATGTGATAATGCCATCACCCACCCTTGGGTGATATTAGCTAGAGGCCTACCAGTTCCTTGGGCTGCTACAACCCTGTTGGCAGACTTTCTGGAGCCCAGCGTTTGCACAAATAGATGCACAAAGACAATGCACACTTCTAGTCTAACATATAATACCTACTAAACCAGGTACAAACTGACATTAAAGAACCTCTAAAATAATGTCATCATAGAAAGCAGCAAGGGAGAAAGGGACACCTACCTGGGCCGCCCATTTTCAATCTTATACAAGCCACTCAGACTCTTCCTCTCCACTTGTCCATCTTTCTCATTAAACTTGAGAGAAAAGTGTTTGTCACTGGTTTCAGAACAGAATGCAAATAGCAAGTTAATAAACACATCACTCTTCATTACAAAGGTTGTAAATCCATCCAAAATGGCCACAACAGCAGCTGCCACACAAACAGTGCTTGGCTCATCAAATAGCACAGAACTGAATTTTATCCCCATTTTCCAACTGCAATTATAGTCATTAAAATATCAACAGCTGCTAATGGCAGATCTTCACGGTACTTAGAACTGGGGAGATACGGATTTAATTTTTACGTTTCTAATATATTCACTGTATGTTGCATTTGCTTTCTGTTCAAATGTTTTTTGTTTATAGTCAAAAGAATTCTGATCAAAATTTAATATTTCATATTTATTTTGACAAAGATAAAAAAATTCTGTGCTTCAAAATGTTTTTAAAGTATTTTGAGAAATTAGTATACAACAGAACACTGAGTTTTGAAACTGGAAATGGATAAAATTTCTCACTGGTTGGCAACAATTTACCAAATGTCAAGCCTAAGAAGAATATTTACTGAGCACTTGTTTCATTTCAGCAAATATTAATGACACCTGTAACTTTTAAACCCTCCCCTCAGAAGTCTGTAAAGGAGCATTCTTATGTCCAAAAGTAAGTTGGCCATTGTTCAAAATGGTTTGTCAAATATTTGTAACTTCAAATTACTCATTCATTTTCTCTGAAACTTGGTTCACTCAGAAGATAAGGTGGACATCTGAAAATAGATCAGGACTTAAGAATCATGAACAATTAGCGAGAAAATTCACTATGATATTTTGGCTACTTTGCACTAGCATAGCTTAGTCAGTTCTCAAGAGCCTGAAGTAGAAGGTGCTGTACAATAATATAGCCACTAATAACTATGTATGTATGTTAGTGCAGCAAAGTCAGGAAATATGAAAGTTAAGACTAAGACATTAAGTATAACCTTATTCTGCACTCCCCTGATACATTTGTGTATATATACAAAACCTAGGATAAACTGTACAGTAAGCTTAGATATGCACGCATATCTAATGTTGCAGAAAAAGGCATACGGTATTTTTTTAATACAATACAATCACATAATTAGAAAGGGCATCCGAGTGAAGCAGATTTATAGCTGGGCATTCAGTCTTCTGCACTTCTTGACTGCAAAAGCTCAACTCTAGAACTGCATTTCTACATTTTTGTTGTTTTGCAAATACAAGCAAATGAACATTCTCGTAGATCAGGGGTGTTCAATCCCCGGCCCATGTGCCAGATCTGATCCACAGAGCTGTGACAGCCAGCCAGCTGGGCTCCCCACAGGTCGGAAAATCTGGCAGCAGGGCAGCATTAATTGCCACTCCCCTATGGCTAAGTGTCTGGACCCAGGGGGAGCCCAGTGGGCCAGACGGTGTGGCCCTGCACACCACATCAGTTGTGCAGGGCTGGGGTGGCATGGAGGCACAATTTGGGTACTGACCCTGTGAGGGATCTGGTCCATAGACTGGCCCTGCACCACTGATCCCGCATGCCAGGCTAAAAGTTTGAGCACCACTGATGTAGATTACAAAAAACTCTGTCTTGACAGAGCCACAGCAAGGTTCTAGCTCCACAATGTCTGAAAGGACAGACTGAGAGTACTGTGCCATTATACTTATCTCACTGTTTGGAAGGGAGCTCTTCTCCTGCATCAGTAACCCTTTTTACTATCATAGAATTAAGTATATCACAGGACTAGCTACATCTGTAATTTCTAACTGTGCCAAGTACATCCATCCATCCATCCATCCATTCAAGACCACCAACACCTCTTCTGAAGCCACAAGCTCTCAATTTCTGTTGGATAGACACTGCTCACCTGATCTGAGGATCTGCCCACTTGGGTCCAGCCAAGATGGATGCTGCTGTGTACTCCACAGGGCTGTAATCCTTCCACTCAACTAACCAGCCCACTTTGTCACTGGGGACTTTGCTACGCTCAACACTTGATCCTGGATAAGGAGAAGTGAGTGCTTTGCTGTGGTGGGACTTCTCCTTTGAGTCATAATAGCTTGACATATTGACAGAGTAAAGATGAAACCAATGTGCTGGATATACACTATTGAGGAAGGGGAAAAAAAACATAAGTGTTACACATGTGTTACAAGTCATGTGCACTTGTATGGTGCAGGGATAACAGGATGCTCTTTACTTCCATGCCTGTCTTCACTGTGTTGCTATCAATTACTCAATTTCTCAATTACTCAATTTCTTTTGAAATGCAAACAGCAATTGTTTGGTATTGGTGCCTCTGCTCAAATACGCATCGAGAATCGTGCCATAGCTGTTAGATATGCACACCAGTGCCAAATGCAAACCATGTTTTCTCCAAGGTGTAAATAGGGTGAAGGGAATTTTCCAACACTTGATTCAGCAACTCTCTCACTGCCTATCAAGTCATATTATAAAATACATTCACATCAAATAGCATGGTCCAGATGCACAAAAATTATATGAGGCAAAGTTCTTTATGGGTTATATCTTTTTCTGGACCAATTACATGGCTGGGATAAAATTAAACAAGCTTTGAAATGCAAGGCATTTCTTCAAAATTGGAATGCCTTGCATTTGGAAGCTTGTCTAACTTTATCCCAACCATGCTGTTGCCTAATAAAAGATACCACCTACTGAAATCCCTGCTTCTTGTATAATTCCTGGACCATCACAGCTACATCACTCCAACATTAACAAAACAAAAAATATAAAACTTAAACACAGTCTAGCTCAAATAGAAACTAAACACTAAATTAATAAATCTGATTTGGGGAAATATCTATATATGACACATTGCAAACCTACAAATCAACCCTGCTCTGGGCGAAACTGTGGCAATACACAAAGTTTTAATGAAGTTATTTAATTCAAAGTCTGAACATTCCACATAGAAAAAACTTAAAACATTGAGAAAGAGGTAGAGAATCAATAACATATTTGTCAGATAAACATATACATAATATCAGCTGACCACTTATTTACCTGCATTTCAGTAAACCAGAGAAGTTCCCACCTCTGAATTTTCTATTCTCTGGCCTTAATTGTATAACAACTTCTCCAGGACTGTATTTTACAGGTATCACCATATTTGTATAGCCTAATTATCAATTGCTACGTTACAACTCTGTAATATTTATCTAGGCCTGAAAGTTCAAAACACGTGCATGAATTCTGCCCCTAGGAATTCCATAAACTAACTGACACAGCCAATTCAAGTCAGGCAGGAGACCCCATTTGTTTTAAGGGATCTTTAATTACTCAACATTTCATATTGCAAGATGGAGCATTTAAATATGTACAAAATATCCTCCTTCAGCAGTCGTGATCAAGGATTATCGTTTTCCACAACTGTCTTTTCTGTGGGTCCCAAGATGGCTAACGAGGCCAATCCAGGATTGACAGATTCTGTTGCAACTGTGTTGCAGTGGGGTGGGTGGCTCTAGATTCTTGGTTTGGTCTGTGACACGCTGTTTCTACCACTGCCACTTTTCTGTCTCCTGTTGTTGTCATAAGGTTTCAAAGTACTGAGAACCTTGCAGAAGACTCTTCCTCCATTTGGGGTGGTCCTGGGCAACAGTCTCCCTTTCGTACCAGCAGCTCCCTCCTCCTCCCCAACCTTCTGCCCTCCCTCCCACCCCCCGGGCAGGCTGCAAGGCCAGGCAGCAGTGGCCATGAGGATGGCTGGCTCCCCTTTATTTTTAATAAGGTTTTTTTTGTGGATTTCACAGACAATGCCCTCAGCTAATTAAATCAATCCCTGGAAGGCAGAAAGACCATCACAATGAACGTGCTGCTTACATGAACTTTGTCAAAGAATGCCAGATGCCTTTAAGTGCAACTGAGCTTTGGGACTCTGTTTCTGATTAGTTACCACGTATGTCTATGACTTGGCAAAATACTGCTTTACAATTCCAACCAATTCAGCAGACACAGAACATGTGATCTTAGTTTATAGACAAGTGTTAACAACACAGAGACACAGGACATCAACTGCAACTGCTGGTGGATGCTGCATGCTAGAGTTTAGCAACTCAAATGAATGTTTTTTTTATTAACATGAGCATAAATTAGTACATTAGTAGTAATACTCAGAGTAATAATATGACAAACTATACAATATAATTACTTTCCACAGAATTTGCTATTAAATTATATGGTATAAGCCTCTCCACCAATCAGTACCATGGGGCAGGGCCACTGAAACATATCCAGGAAATAGCTACAGAATTTGCTCTTTATGCCACAAACAACCCATGAAAACTGTTTAGTCTCACCGTGATTAGAGTAGATCCCTAGCTATAATATATAAACATACTATTAAAACACCTATTTAGAACGTCCTACATATAAAATAGGTTTATCAATGCAGAACCTCATACACAATGAAAGACTGTGGTCTGAGCAAAACAATTCAACAAACGGAAAGAAATACATTACGTTCTTAGTTACACTTTCCTTGTACGGAAGTGGTGGGATTCCAGGTGACATCATAGCTCAACCTGGAGTACAGTGCTACTTTTGCTTTGGTATGTTCAACGTGACAGGTATGAAAATATATCACGTTTACTTATATTCAATACAACAGAAGTCATTATATTGCTTTTTTAAAAGTAAAAAGTTAAGATTTGTTTAGGTTTTCACACTTCCATGGACAATAAAATACTTTGAGACATTTAAGATCTTGCTTGATTTCTCAGACACATTTACAATCTTCCCATCTAACAAGATATTAGTCACTGAAGGGGAATGTTTAACTTGGTCATTTGCAACTAGTTTAGTACATCTAGATGATGCAGGATTTTGGATAATAACATATGAAATACTTTGCTGCTTCTAGGCAAATTGTAACTGGATGACAAATTAATCCCAGATCCTGTCTAACTTTACATATGGATAACCCCACTCTCATATTTAAGGGCAAGCACGTATTTGTAGGACCTAGTCCTCAGACCTCAAGCTGGTCTCCTCGTTGATTAGGGAGTAGAAGCAAATGGCAAAGCTGTTTTAGTTTAAATACCTGTAGGCCACTTCCCTGAGTGGCTGGAGTAGTGGGTGGAGGAGGTGGCAACTAGAGGCCGGAAGACCAACTGCAGACAGATTGACAGTGAGAGACACCACAGTGACAGTCCGAGCCAGGCAGCACCTTGCCATCACATGCAGGAAGTGCACCAAAAACTATGGGTCTCCAAGCCAGAAACATCCGATTGTAGATGCTTCATTCCCTACAAGAAGTAGCCATGTTTATTTATTCTATAGAATAGTTCATCAGAAAAATAAAGATAGTGAACCTGATTATACTTTTGCCAGTTTTAGAGGCATAACTCTACTGACTGCAGTGAAATCAAACCATCTTTTTGGCAGTGACCCAGTAATTTTAAAACTGTGCATTTTAGATCTCGCGTTAAAATGAATGAAAAACCCTAGCAAGCAAAGCGCCTCCTATTATGCTTTTCCACACAGCAAAGTCTCCCTTAAAAACTCATGCTTGGGTTTATTCGATGACAATAAGCGGCAGTTAGGTAAACCTGTCACTGTTTTCATCTCATCAAAAGGCATCACAGGCTCAGCTCCTAGTCTGCACCAATTAATCATAGAAAATTAGGGTTGGAAGGGGCCTCAGGAGGTCACATCTAGTCCAACCCCCTGCTCAAAGCAGGACCATTCCCAGCTAGATCATCCCAGCCAAAGCTTTGTCTAGCCAGGTCTTAAAAACCTCCAAGGATGGAGCTTCCACCACTTCTCTGGGTAACCTGTTCCAGTGTTTTACTACCCGCCTAGTGAGAAAGTTATCGTACTATTGAACCTAGACTTCCGTTGCTGCAACTTGAGACCATTGCTCTCCGTGTTCTGTCATGGATTTAAACGACCACGATTTACACACATATGCCCAAAAGGCTTTCTGCAGGATTTTTTTTGCCTGGCAGCACCATTTGCCCTGCTGTGGTGGGCTGAAGCTTGGCTAGAGCACAGGAGAGCTCGATCCTTTGCCCCCATGAACCCTGGTCTTGGGGAGGTGTCCTTTAGGGGCCCTGCCACACATTCAAATGCAGGCTGGCTGGAAACCACCTCCAGCCCTATTACACCAGCGCTTCCTAACCTTGTCCTCAGCATGACCCCATTTATGGCCCCATTTCCTCAGCATGGCCCCTCACACCCAACCCACAGCCCCCACCCCACCTGCTAACATTGCAACCCCATTTGGGAACCGCTGTGTTCCACGTTTTCATGCACCGACTCCATAGCCGGTCGGCTTTCTTTCACCAAAGGGTCCTTTTCAGCCTGTGATCATTCCTGTAGGTGCGGACGGTCCACGTGTATCGCGCAATCGGTTTGGCAGCGAACGGCGGGATCGACCGGTTAACATTTACTGCCAGCCAGTGGTGCTACATGCGTAACGTGTGACAGGGTCTCGAGCCTGCGCAGAGAAACAAGCCGCCCCCGACTCGGCCGCGCCGAGCACTTGCCCCCAGCACCAGGAGCTTGAAGCTGGCGATTCCCCCGCCAGGAGAGGGAAGATGGCCCTTTCCCCGGCCCTCCACTGGCGGCCGCTTACCGCCCCGGGCAACTCAGGCCGCCTGCAGACACCAACGCTGCACCACCCCGCCCCTCTCCGCAAGAGACGGCTGGTGATAGGGCAACCGCCGCGTCCATCACTTCCAATCCACCACCCGATTGGGCTCGTCGTTTCCGGTAGCTGCTGATTGGAGCGCTGTGTCACCTGCCCCGCTCCGCTCCGCCCCACCCCGCCCTCGCCCTCGCCCTTGCCCTTGAGCCGTTTTGTTCTTTCCTACCCGCTGGGGACACGAGCGCCAGCTGCCAAACCGCGGGTTCCTTCCCGAGCGCGAGCGCTCCAACAGCTGTGACATCGGGGGCGGGGGCGCCTCCCGATTGGCTGCGCTCCTCACACTCGCCGAGGGAGGGGGTGGGAGCAATGTGCCCTTTCAGAAGCGTAGGCTGCGGCCTCGCACGGGGGG